CTTGTCCAGGGAAGTGTTGGGCTCTCTGTCCCTGGAGGTACCCAAAGAAAAACCCAAGAATCATCTATCAGGAATGTTTTAATCTGGATTCCAGCACTGAGTGGGGATTGGACTTGATGGCCTAAATGCCCCCTTCCAGCGCTACTGTTCCATGATAAGAATATTCGCATGCAGGTTATTCTCGATTTCCAACTACCAGGTTATTCTGGAGCATTTACTCTTTTAATTGGCGGAAAGAACCACAACAATTGAAGTTCTCCAGTGAATTTTTTGGATGTGCATAAATTGCAGGATGGCTTCAAAAATAAGGGTTAAGTAAACAGTTTACTTCGGAAGGCCTGGAAACCAAATAGACTGCCCCCTCCTTTTTTGGCTGTACCCCGTTACTTCTGAACTGGTGCCATGTTGTACCCCTTCGCTGTGTCGCAGAAATTGCCGTGCACTGGTATGGATGGAATCGGGGCCCTGTCGCCCCATGTGACGCATGGTGTCGCCTCAGGAGCAATGCTGAATTGGCTATCATGCAACAGGAGGAGCCTTGGAAGTGGTTGGGCTGTTAGTTGCCTTCAGAGAGGCAAGGCCCCAGACGGTCCCGGTACCCGTGCTCAGAAGAAGCAACGCCTCTAGTTGCCCTCAGCTGTTGTGCCACACGTGCTGCGGAGAAGCGTGACGGCTGTCCTTCAGAGCGCTCTTCCACCGATTCTGGAGTCACCCCGGGAAGCGTCTAAAGGGTTTAGTGGTGATGCCCTTGTGCCCTTTTTATAATGGGAAGACACTCGTCGTGTGGTTCGCCCTCTCTGCAAGTCCTCATCTATCACAAGTGTTCTTTGTGTAAACAGTCCAAAAAACTCGTGCGCACACACACAGTTAAGTATTTATTCTGGAGCAATGATCTCACGGATTGTCTCTGCATGAAGGAGCCGTTCTTCCCGACTGGTTCTGCATGCAGTGTAATTGCAAAACCCCTTTCAAACGTGGGGCAGTACGTGATACCAACACTAGCTCTTGTGTTTACTTTTGTGCTTGGTTTGTTGCATTTATCTTAAGGTTTTTAAACCTGGCATCTTTTAATTTGTGACAGTGTTGCAAATACACAAGTTACTAATCCATAGAAAGTTTTGCTGATTCACCTCCTGAATCACCAAAAGTTTTGCTGAATAAGTATAGCATATACTTAATGTAAATTATTGTTGGCATATTTGAATGAGGAAAAACAATAACTTCCCTCTAATGCACAAAACATCTCTATTTGATTGCCTGGAGTTCAGTTTTGCTTGCTGAAAAGGAGCCAGGTATGTAACAAGCATGGAAAACAACTAGATTGGAGGAAATAGGAGATCTGTGATTAGATCTCCTGCTTTTTTAAACAGTACAATAGAGCGTGGATTTAGTATGCAGAACATAGTTAAACTATGGAACTCACTTCCACAGGATGAGGTAATACCCATCAGTATGGACGGCTTCAAAAGGGGACTGGACAACTCCATGGAGGGCAGGGCTATCAGTGGCACCTGGTCCTAATAGCTATATGGTGCCTCTAATATCAGCGGCAGTATGCGGCAATATATGCACCAGTCACTGGGGAACATGGGCAGAAGGGTGTGGGCTCCTGTGGGCAGCTGGTTGGCCCCCGTGTGAACAGGATGCTGGGCCAGTTGGGTTTGTTCATCCAGTCCAGTTGGACTCTTCTTACATTAACGTGGCTCATAAGGGGCTGTCATGTAAATGACATAACACTGCAGGGTGATTCCTTTAAGGAATCAGTACATCTGCCTCAAAACCTCTCTTCTTTATTGCAGTGAAAATGGCAAGACGTGTGTTTTCTATTCTTTTGCCCAAATGATCAGGAGTGACTTCTGCATTACCATTATCTATCAGCAGAAAGGGGAAAAAACTTTTCCCTATTTCTTACCTCTTCCTTCTGGTTTCCTGTCCTGGATGTGCAAGAAGCTATCAGTTTTGGCGTGATTTCTATACCTGTCACTGCACACCTCACGGCAGTTTGATGGCTTCTTTTCCCAGTGATGGTGCGAACCCGCCTACGTACATAAGGCAAACACCAGGCAACCCATGTTAGCTCTTGATTGGATAAATGCCCTTGCTGAGCAGCATATAAAGTGACAACCTGGCATTATAGTTAAACAGTGGAAGCCATCTTTGTTGTTTCTTCTGGTATTAATACTTATTTCTCTGTGTTCCCTTTGTGTTTAATAAAATCTCTCTAAACTGAAGACTGAAGTTTCTTGTCTAGTTTAGACAAGAAACTAGGCAGGCAGGGGTGGGGGACAACTCTCCAATAACCCATGAGCAATTGTTGAGTTATAGGTGGGTTTCCTCTCTCATGATGCCTAAATTTGGGTGACACAAGCCGCATACAGGCCAAAACACACTGTGCTTTAAACAAGCCACTGTGTTTCAGCCACAGAGGGTGGACAGATGATATGATAATATTACTTGCCTTGTGCCAGATGAAAGCATAGAGAAATGGGTTGAAGCTCCTCCAGCAACAACTGGGGTTCAGCTGGCAACGTTCTTCTCTCCAAATTAAATAATGCATAAGATTTTGAAATTCCCTGTGCCCTACAAGCCCAGGAGAGTAAAGGTGAGATGACTGCAGAACAAACAAAAGGAGAGTGAATGGCAGAGAACTGCCTTGCAGGGCTGTTGTACAGAGAGGTTTCTAGAAATAGCTAATTTTCACATTGACAGTACTTTTTTCTTGGATAATCAAAGTGCTCATTGGTTCTAATTCTTGAGGAACTTCTAATGGATATCACTCTGTACCAATGGAAAGACCCAAATGTGATTTTGCAGTTGAGAGCAGGTTTCATCCGTTACGTGACAGAATGACGCTGCTTCCTCTTTTTAGAAAGCATTGTTGTGGGAATGATTGCTTCTGAAAGTTTAATTGCTCTGCAGATGTTGCAATACGTCAAAATACACAGCTATAACCTATAATTCACACAGGGCAAATGGGGATTTTAAAAACCTGAGTTTTATCCTTCAGCTTTTTTTTAAATAGCCAAGTGCTTTGGCTAAGCTTTGATAACTTCAGCAGTTGCCAGAGAAGTGTTGTTCTACTTCATGTCTATATGGGAAAAGGCCTGCCAGGAGGGAACAGAATGATTCTTGCTGTTGAACAGCAAAGGAGAATATCCTGGCAAATGTATACTATCAGCAAAACAAGAGTCAAATTTCAGCTTTTAGAAGTAATAACACACTAAAATCTGTTTAATCTGGTTGACTCACATGGTCCAGACTGTCCCTGACAGGGTGACAGTCTCAAATGTATTGCATTAGCCTCTTGTTTTATCATGCAGCTATGTTGATTATTGAGTGAAGATGAAGTAAGCAAGGAAAGAGAAAGAAACCTGGAATCAACAACAAATGGCTAAGATATAGCCCTTACAACCTCCTGCTCTTTTGAAGGGCCTCTCAAGGAATTTGCCTTATATTATTGGTGTCGCTGGGAGTAGTGCATTTAAAAAATGCAAGTTTTACCATTAAAAAGCTATTTTTCCTGTAACAGTAACATCAGAGCTTTGTATTCTCCCTTTGTGGCAGCTAAACACAGATTTGTCATAACTTACATAATGACTGTGCTCCCATGTAATGCTAAACAATGGTTTATGTTAATCATGGTTTGTCGCTTTAGTTAGCAATGAATCGTCTTGAGTTAGCAAGCCATGGTTCACTTGCTCTTGCTCTAGCTTGCTCCTGTCCCATCCATTTTGCTAGACTTCACAAGAATTTTGTTTTTTGGACAGCTCTTGCTGGGTGTCTTTATTTCAGGACCAGACAGAAACACAGACGAACTGGGAATTGGCCAAGTTTCTGGATTTAGACATCATGACAAGCTGTGGTTTAAACAAACTGGACTTTGTAACCCAGCAACAAACCATGACTTCTATTTGTGGTTTGTAGCTAGTTAACAAATCAAGGCTTATTTGCAAAGATGGATTAGGACAGAATGGCTTGATTCATACAGCACAATAATCCACACCCAGTGGTTGAATGTCGATTGAGTATGGGTTGTTGTTGGACCATAGGTGGTTATTGAAGTGTGGGTTGTTGTGTTTCTGAACCCAGCTATGATAAGAAACAGGGATTTGTTAACCTTGAGCAACTCAGAGTTCTCAACCATGGGTTCTCTGCATGACTTGTTTTTGAGGGTGGCTTCCTAGAACACAACAACGTGCAATTCACCATGGGTGTGGGTTGTTGTTTTGTGTGATGAGTCTAGTGAATGACAAGCCGGTTTTCAACAGGACACACAATGGCTTAGTGAATCAGACCAATGTTATACTGTGGAAATACACCGTCAATATGCTGACCAAAATTAGATGAGTATTCAAATTTGAAATGTGATCCAGGAACATAGCTCAGTTATCCATCTGCCTCTGTCCTCTACTTAATCTTGTTGATATACCACTTTTTTCAGTTGTCTCTGCTGAGGATTATGCATAAATCTGTGTTTTGACTGCTTTTCCCGTTGTTGACTGTCAAAGTTATTTACAAATGTTTTGGTGTAAAAATTCTAGGATTGCCACAGCCCCCATACTTTTTTCCTTTTTTGGGAACCATTCTGGGAGCCATGCATGACTGTTGAACCACATATAAAAGCAATCAATCAATCAATCAATCAATCAAATCTCTAGAACTCCCCTTCAGAATTCCTTTCAGATTTTTAAAAGACAGCAAAACCTCACTTATTCTGCAGGGCGTCTAGAAGTGGCAAAGGGCTTCTGGTGGCTTTTGATGCTGCTTTTTAAAGCTTGTTTTCTTTTGTTCTAGATTGTGTATGCCCAAATGTGAATTCTTATTTTTGAAGGGTTGCCTCAAAAACATTGAAAGACAGGTTGGCTTCCTTGCTCCTCAAGGAAAGCTCAAAGCCAGCTTGAGCATATGGAATTGGATGTCTCTGTATCATGGCCCCCGTGTCTCATTTATACTTTTACAGACAAATTAAGTGTTCTAATGCCGCCATTTTTCTTTTGTAGGTAAAGGCAGCTCAAGCCTGTCATCCGACGTGAGTTCAAGTACAGATCACACCCCAAGCAGAACACAAAAGAATGCCGCAACCAGTGAAGGTATGCAGATGGTGTGTCTTGCCTCCATTGTGCCAGCTGGCTTCTCCAGGGGCCACCTTTCCCCCTTTGATCTTTGCTGGAAAAAAATCCAGCAAAAACAGCCAGCCAGCCAAAATGCAGCAGGAATATCTCCCCCAGCTTCAGTTTCTCATTTGCTCTCTTGTAATGTGTGGGGGCTCATGACAGAAAACATAACTTTAGGGGACATTCCAAAAGAAATACTTTCCACACTCTTTAAGATAGCGCATTATTCTTGTTGGGTCTAGAATTTAATACAACAGGGCTGGATTTTTTCTTACCAAAGTTAATAATGCAATTACCCTGGGGGTTGATGTGGAACTATACTTGAAAGTGGTGTTTGCCTGGTGCTTAGAAGCTTGTGCCAAGCAAGCTAAAACACATTTAAAGGAGAATTAAAGTTCAGTGGTGATGTGAAAGCTACAGTGATGACTCTCACCTGGAGTGAGGAGGCAGTGAACGAGAGTGCAGGGGCTGTATGGAGACACGCTGGGCATCCGTCTGCAACCACAATCGAAACATAACCAGCTTGCAAGGAGGAATGTGTCCGTCTAATGTACAGACGCGCCAAGGCGATCTTCTTTTTCTGTAGGTGGGTGATGCTGGAGGGTTACTGATGTAGCCTCTGGCAATACGAATAGGATGTTTGGCACTCAGACCCCTCCCATGCTCACAGTGTATCTCTGAAATAAACATAACTGAACATTAATTTTTAAAGTTTGTTTTTATATCTTTCCCTGTGATGGATTTCGCACGTGATGCGCAGGTTGCAGCAGCTTTGTTCGGATGCTTTGTCTGCATTATGGAAGTGCCGGTTCACCCTATCAAAACTGACTGCTAAGGTCAGTGGGAGGAGTGTGTCTAAAGTACTGGATTAGGCAAAACCAAAATTTCTAACTTGGTGATTGCTAATCAAATCAAGCCATTGGGTTATTCCATGATTTTTATATTCTCTTGTCATAACAAATTAAACTGCATCAGAATAATCTTTTATCTCCAAGAGTCTCTGAATCTTAAAAAAATGGATTGAATAAACACTTCTGTCAGGCAGATGTCTTGTTACACAGTTCTTTTCCATTAGGTTCATTGATTCTGCTGTTTTACTTTGACCGAGAGAAGAACACAAATCGCTCAATATTTGGGGATGATCCTAAAACCAAAAGCACAAGGTCTAAATACTGTTTAGAGTAAGTTTGGATTGATCGGATTTTGGTTCTTCTGCTATCTGTGCTAAATGGAGGAGTCGTTTAAAATAAACTTTGTAGGCTCCAGGTTTTGATAAGGAGCCACCTTTATCATTTCTCTAAGCATGGTGCTTTTTGTGCACCGTGCAATGGTATCAGGAACTGATATGTTCTTTGGATGAGCTTGTCACTTAGCAAATACTTTGATTCTGTGGCTCCATCCCAAAGCAGTATTGGCTGTGGATCGCTGGCGTGCGTAGCTGGCAACACAGCCGGGCTACGTGAGACCTGGATGGCAAGCACTGATTTGGAGGTGATCTTCCGAACCAGGAACCTGCCTGTGCCGCCTTTCCAACAATCAGCTGCCTCATATGCAAGCGAGAGGTGGAAGAGGAGGATGAGGAGCGAGAGGCTGAGGCTTGCTGTGGCTTATTCTGAATTGAATTTGCGGCTCATCCGTATAAGTCGCTGTTTGAAATGAGTAGATACATTTGCAAAGCGACTGTCACACAGATCTAGACACTTCTAGAAATGTCCCTGTCTAAATATTTCGGACTTAATATTTTAATGCTCCAAGGAACATGCTGTCACATCACTAATAAAGCTTCACGGCTGTGTAGTTTTGGGTGTGGTGCTAACAGTGCCCCCCCCCCAAGTAGTGGCATTTGCTTTAGCACCCCTGGCAGCCGTGGGCATGCTTAATTTGTGCATTGCAATTGTTGCATATCGATTGTTCAGACGAGAGGTGGGACTCCTTGGTGGCTTTCAAACAGTGTTGCATCGGTCTTGGGGTTCCGCAGTGAGAAGAGTGGAGATGGGGCGGGCAATGGACGGTTCGCGTTCTGCACGTGATTAGTGACTCGTGGGCCGTTTGCTGTAGGTGTGAACTAGAAACTGTAAAGGAGTATTATGTAGGAGATGGAGGACGCATCACTGTGTGACTCGCTTCATTTGCGACGGCTCATTCACAGATGCGTGTTACTGCCTGATGCTACAGCGAGCGGTTGGAAGTGAGCTGACTTCTTCCGCTGCCTTATGAAACTGGCAGCCTTGTGCGTGTGTTGGACTCTATATTACTCTCCGTTACCCTCCGGCCTTGCTTGTGTTGTCACATTCCTGCTGGCCTGCCATGCATATGCCGGTAGGGACTCCTGTGTCCCAAAGGCCCTGTGACAGGAGCACGGGGTCTTCCTTCTCTTCTGTTGGTGGGGCTTGTTGAAGAGCTTTGGCTGCCAATACGCTTAAAGGGAGTGCTCCTTTGGCCAGCTGAATTAAACTGCTGCGAACAGATCCTTCCTTGCCGTGCACCCTGCCCAGTTATGCTGCCTCTGTGTGGCTTCCCTTTCTGGACCACTGGCTTGTTTGTGACTGCATCCTTGCTCTGCCTGTACTTTTGGTCCCTGCCCCTGGCCTGCTCTGGGGCTACGCCTTGGACTTTGCTACTGGCCTTCACCCCTGACCTTTGGGCCCTGGATTGCCCTGGGTTCTGCCACCCCGGGTGTCTTCCCTCGGACAGCTCGGGCCCCGGCAGCATGCTACCCGCCACCTGCCAGAGGAACCCTCCACACATGCCAGATGCCCTGCCAAGCCCAGCCAACTGCTCTTCTGCTCTCCAGAGCGGCCACCCTTCATCCGCCGGTTTGTTCCGAGGTGCTGCGAACCAGCTGGTGGGTGGCATCTCTGCGGGCACGTGCCAGCCCACGCATGGCTTTCCAGAGATCCAGCCCGACCCAGAGCCCTGGCTCTGGAGAAGGACCCCCTCAGAGCAGGCATTTGGGCTGGGCTGGGCCAGCTGCCCAGAAGGCTGCCCTAGCCAGAGTGCTGATGCGGCTGATGGGAGAGCCCAGGCAAGAGCCGCGGCGTGTGGGGTGTGGCGGATGCCGCAAGGGAAGGCGACATGGCGCGAGGGCCACTTGTGTGCGCGTCCTCCCATCTCAGGTGGTGCTGGAGCTTGTCCTTGCGCTGATCATAGGCTGCACCCGATCTGCAGCCTGCATTATAGTAAGGACCGCTCCAGAAGTGCAAGCTTTCCATGCTGGGCTTGGCCCACAGTGAAAAATGACTAGAGCCTAAATCTGGGAGATGCTGCAAAATGCATATTTGGTCAGTGAGAACTAATATTTATTTGTTTATTTATTTAGGGAACTTCTATGCCGCCCCATATGCCGAAGCCTCGGGGCGGCTCACAGTCATAACTATGGAGCTGGCTAAATGTTTTAGCCTGTTGTGAGACTTCAGGTGTACCCCATTGGCTTATTTTCTCCAGACTTGTTAACACGCACACACATACACACAGAGAGGAGAAAAGTAAAAGAAAACAAGAAAAGAAAGAAATCAGGAAGGCAACTTATGGGAACCTTTGTACTGTGTTTCCTGTCCCAGGAACTCATATCACATGCCTCTTTTATAAAGGTTTTTATACTTATACTAGTATGTTTTGGTTTCAGTCGTCTGTCTGTCTGTCTTGTCTCTGCCCCTTCAAGCTTCCTATTTTTTTAAAACAATGCATATTATTGTTAGCACTCAAAAGTCGTGTGAAGATGGTATCTGTCCCTAACCCTGCCAAATTAAGCTTGCTTCCTAAAACTTGAATCCCCCCTGCCCTGCCCTGCCCTGCCCTGCCCTGCCCTGCCCCCTCTTTCCTTTCTTTCGTTTTATTCTACTATGAGCTCCTGTGGAGGCCTCATCTTAGGTGGTGAACCTCCGTGTGTGCTGATATCACTATGAGAATCAGCACATGCTCTTTTTGCAGTCAGAGGAACACAAGCGAGGCAAGTTGGGCGTGTCAGCAAGCGGAAGTCCTGCTGGCACCTCTGTGCAAACCAAGGACTACTTCTGCAGCACCATGGTGCACTGTACCCTGTTCTCTATACAGGGTTGTTGTGAGGATAAGAATGAAAGGAGGAAGGTAATCGTGTAAGATGCTTTCTGAGGAGGAAAAAGGGATGCACACACAAACACGCACACACACACACACACAAAATGAGGAAATTTTAGAGGATAGCCTTGGTCAAGCTCAAAAACCACTTAGGAGAGACAGTTTAGAGTGCTTTATAAAACACCATTTGGACAGGCAGGTGTAAGAAAAAGCTGGAGAGAAAGTATTACAGTGGTATTGGATCTCCTCCAAGTTAGATTTCTATGTCTCTTAGGTGCTTTCAGGCAGAGGTTCAGCTGGCAAGTATTATTCACAATAATTTTGATACTTTCCTTGGAAACAAAATAATTCAAGAACCTGAAACATACGGTTGCATGACGTGCTGCTTTTGTTACCGTGACCCTTTAAAACGTGGTCTGTGCTCATGCTTGCACCCCACACAGAGCCCTCGTGAGGATAAAACTTCATCACAGTGACTGGGTTGAGACAGCATAGTAAGCCACAATGAAGGATTGTGTGTGCGTTCTCATAGAAGTGTGGGTTAGTATTACAATATGCTGGGCAATCCTGTTGTTTAAACTGAGTTGAAATAAGAAACCATGCTGAATAACTCAACAAACCATGGGCTCCTTTCATGGGTTGTTTGTGGTTAAGAAGCTATACCTTGTTCAGCAGGGTTCAGACAATATGATACCCTACACTCCACTCATATCCAACATGTGGGTTATCATGTTCTCTGAACCCACTCAGAAAAAGCTATGGGTCCAGTCTGCCATGTGGGCTGGACCCAGTCATGGTATTTCAGCGTGGTACGTTTGGTCTTTAGAAATCAGTATAAGAAACAATTACTTGTTCTATGATTTCTCTGTACCACCATGGCTTGCTGTGTTGTCTGAACCCAGGATCATGGTTTCCACAGG